CAAATTGGGACCTACTTTTGTTATTATTATTATTTATTTATTCATGTTTTTTTTGAGACAAGGTTTCTCTGTGTAGCTTTGGAGCCTGTCCTGGAACCCTGTAGCCCAGGCTGGCTTCAAACTCACAGAGATCCTCCTGCCTCTGCCTCCCGAGTGCTGGGATTAAAGGCATGTGCCACCACCGCCCACTACTTTTGTTATTATTATTTATATATTATTTTGTTATTATAATAACCCCGAGTCCCTATCTTAGTCACTGTTCTATTTCTGTGAAGAGACTTAGGACTTGACACCATGACCAAGGCAACTTATTAATGAAAGCATTTAATAGGGGCCTTGCTTACAGTTTCAGAGGATGAGTCCATGATCACCACAGCAGGCAGGCAGGCAGGCAGGCAGCAGGCAGGCAGCAGGCAGGCAGCAGGCAGGCAGGCAGGCAGGCAGCAGGCAGGCAGCAGGCAGGCAGGCAGGCAGGCAGGCAGCAGGCAGGCAGGCAGCAGGCAGGCAGCAGGCAGGCAGGCAGGCAGCAGGCAGGCAGGCAGCAGGCAGGCAGCAGGCAGGCAGGCAGGCAGGCAGCAGGCAGGCAGGCAGGCAGCAGGCAGGCAGCAGGCAGGCAGGCAGGCAGCAGGCAGGCAGGCAGGCAGGCAGGCAGCAGGCAGGCAGGCAGGCAGCAGGCAGGCAGGCAGCAGGCAGCAGGCAGGCAGCAGGCAGGCAGGCAGGCAGGCGCTGTAGTTGAGAGCTCACATCTTATCCACAAGAAGGAGGCAGAGAGAGACTAGGTCTGGTGCCAGCTTTTGAAACCTCAAAGCCTCCCCCCAATGACACATCTCCTCCAACAAGGCCACACTTCCTAATCCACCAACGAAAGACTAAGCATTCAAATACTCAGTCTATGGAGGGCCATTCACATTCAAACCACTACAGTACCCTTCACAATGTGACCTTGCGGTTCCTCCCGTCCCATCCATGAGTGCCGAAACTCAGTGGTGAACACAACAGTAGCTTATTATATCTACACCTACAGGTCGACAAACTGGAGTCTGTATTCTGGTCTCCTAGACTGGCATCTCATTCAAAAGCCCAGGGTCCTACACCAAGCTCCAGAGATACTGACACATTTCATTGCCTGGGATTATTGGACGGAAGTCCTCCATTTAGGGCCTGGAGAGATGTCTCAGCGGTTAAGAGCACTGGCTGCTTTTCCAGAGGACCTAGGTTCAATTCCCAGCACCCACATGTCAGTTCACAACTATTTGTAACTTCAACACCCTCACACAGCAGATATACAGTCAAAACACCAGTGCAATTCAACAAACAAACAAACAAACAAATAAATCTTAAAAAAAAAAAAAAAAGGAAGTCCTCTGTTTCTAGAAAACATGCCCCATTCTTCTCACCATCTCTCTCTGAAGTGTGGCAGTTTGCTTCTTCAAGGCCAACTGGATGGCAGCTCTGTGGGCCAGATCTTTCCGGTTAGGAAAGCTGGTCAGGCTAATCCCACTTGGAGCATTCCAGGGTTAACTAATTAGGAACCTTAAATACATCTGCAAAATCACTCTACTTGTCCCCGAGAACCCAATTGTGGGAGTACAATCCTAGTCCATTCCACAAGCTCTCCCCACACTTGAGGGCGAAGGGTGGCACTAGGAACCTTGAGCTCCTGCCTTGTGTTGACTGTGGGAGGCATCGACAGAAGTGTTTGTGACTTCCACAGTTGGTCCTTCAGCGCTTCTGCAGGTGTGAGGGACCCTGAGCTACTGCAGGGAATAACAAGAGCTTGTCAGGAGACAAGAGGACCACTGATCAGCTTTGGCCTCTCTCACTGTAACCACAGTGATGACCCTGGGATGACCAGGGATGGCCAGTGATGACCTGGGGATGACCAGTGATGACCTGGGGATGACCAGTGATGACCTGGGGATGACCAGTGATGACCCTGGGATGACCAGTGATGACCAGTGATGACCTGGGGATGACCAGTGATGACCTGGGGATGACCAATGATGACCCTGGGATGACCAGTGATGGCCAGTGATGGCCAGTGATGACCAGTGATGACCTGGGGATGACCAGTGATGACCTGGGGATGACCAGTGATGACCTGGGGATGACCAATGATGACCCTGGGATGACCAGTGATGGCCAGTGATGGCCAGTGATGACCAGTGATGACCTGGGGATGACCAGTGATGACCTGGGGATGACCAATGATGACCCTGGGATGACCAGTGATGGCCAGTGATGACCAGTGATGACCTGGGGATGACCAATGATGACCCTGGGATGACCAGTGATGGCCAGTGATGACCAGTGGTGACCAGTGATGAAAGAAAAACTTCAGCTGAGCCAGCCAACAAACCGAGCAAGGGAGGGAGTACATTCTGACATCTCACAGCTACACTTACGTGCTTTGTGCTCCAGGCAATGGCTCTCAACCGGAGGGTCACGACCCCTTTGGGGTCATATATCAGATATTTACATTACAATTCACAACAATAGCAAAATCACAGTTATGAAGTAGCAACAAAATAACTTTATGGTTGGAAGTCATCACAACATGAGGATCGGCATTAGGTCGCAGCATTAGACAGGTTGAGAACCACTGAGGTTAGAGGAGGCAGGGGTGGGCGTGGGGGTGAAATGGGGGCAGAGACACTGAGGATCTCTGGGGTTTTCAGGCCAGTCAACCAATCAGCAAGCTTCAGGTTCAGTTGAGAGACCTTGTCTCAAAAAATAAGGTAGAGAATGACCGAGAAAGACTCCTGATGTCAACCTCTGGTTTCCATCTGAATGTGCACTCATATGCTTGTACACACACACACACACACACACACACACACACACACACACACACACACACACCAAGACACAGACACACACACACACTCACATACACAAATGCAAAGAAGAAAACTGAGATGTAGAGAGCGGACGGGGACTGTGTGAGAAGAGATGGTGCTGTGAGTGGATTAAGACTGCTGCCCCGCCCGGGAGATTACTTTGGACCAACACAACCACGGGGTCCATTTTAAGAAGCAGGAGGGTAGTCAGTAGTGGTAACAGGATTAAAGAGTTGAGCAACAAAGCCATGTACCAAGGAGTGACAGCATCTTCCAGAAGCCAGCTGAGGCCAAGTCCCCTCAGCCTTGACTTCAGTTCCGTGACACTGACTTGGGACTTCCGCCCTCTAGAGGGTGTCATTTTAGGCTGATAAATTTGGGGCTATTTGTTAGCGCATCAACGTGAGGCTCATCCACCTCTGTTGTGGAACTGTTTGCCTTGTGTGGTGGACACCGTCTCACTGGACTGGGCTGTTTCCTGCAGCTTTCACGGGGTGTGTGTGGGGGTGTCACAAAGGCTGCTGAATGATCCAATATGTGGATTGATGGTCACGTTCTTCATCCTGTGGCCTCCTCAGCCTGCACGATCGCACCGACACCCACACATTCAAGCTACCTGTTTATTCACGCCACCCTAGGTCAGCTCTCTATTCAGGCGAAGGCCACTTCAGGCTTGCCAGCATGCCAGCACTTTCTCAGTGGCATAAACATCTTGAGGGGGCAGAAGAATTTCAGTCAATCTAATTTCTATATATATCTATAGTGGTGCAAGAATGAAAAACTGAGATTTTGATATGGTGGATTTGCTCCTTCAAGAAATGGTGTTGCAGCAGAGACGTATACACACCCTGCCTAATAATCCAATCCTGGAATCAAAAGATAATCCTGACCCTTACAAATATCTAACCCTCCCCTCCCCCCGCCAGCCTCAGACAGCGAGTGAATGGGGCAAAATCTGTGTTAATGTTCAATCACTATCATCAAGGGAGGCAAGTAACTCCAGAACAGTGTAAATAATACAACCCTATGTTGCTTAAACATTTAAATATATAGAATGTATATATATATATACCTGTACTCTACGCGTGGGTGATATGTGTGTGTGTGTGTATTCATGCAGGCCTGGGTTTAGGGGAAGAACAGGGCTAGAAGATCCTAATGGTTTTATGCAGGTTATGGACTGTTGACTTCTGTATCTGTAAGTGTTTAATATTTTTGTTTTGCAAAGAACGAGACCATTGGTCTAATGGAAAATAAGATTAAATAATTTCAAAACAAACGGAATGGAAGGTTTTGAGAGGCGGGTTTTCGCAAGGCGGGCTTCATCCTTGAAGGACAGCTCCAGATCTCGCTTGCGCCTCCCCAAGTTCAATGGCGGAGTCAACCTCGCGTCTGTGGACTGTAGGATAGTGGTGTGGCCTGCGGCCTGGAAATCCGAAAACAGATTTGACCACGAGGGCGGGGTCTGCAGAGTGACCCAAAGAAAGCCTGCTTTGGACTCAGTCGGGCATGCCGGGAGGTTCTCTTCCGAGACCTCTTCCTCTTAACACACCGCCCTCGAGGTCAGCTTGCAGGTGCTGCTCAAGACCGCGGTCTCAGCAGACCTGGGTCACCTCCGCCTCCACCCCCCTTTCCTGCGGTGGCGTTTTTTGTTTTAACTCATCTGAACCGGTTACAAAACCACACTCCCACGAATACATAAATAATGGATGGGGTGATGGATTAAAGAAATCCCCACAAGGCCTGGCAAAGCTGCAGCGAATGCATTTCTGCTGTATCATATTTAACTGTTTGCAAACGTCTGCAGGAGGATGCACAGCGCCTGCAGACTCGGGACTCATCGCACCTCTCTGTCCAGGGCCTGGCAATTCTAGCATGAGGAGTTAAAAGGAGGGTAGGAGGTGGCAGGGATCCTGGCCCTTCAGGATGAAGCAGGACAATGTAAAATTGCACTGCACCTCACCCGGCTTGGCACCAGCCACGCATCCATCGGTCTCCTGCCAGGACTGCGGCGGAGAGGACAGGCCCCTTTAAGAGCCAGCGCGCGCCCCCGCCCCGCGAGCGCTCTTTTTCCCTAGCAACCGCCCCGGGGGAGGGGGAGGTCCTGGCAACGGAGCTCAGGCCCCGAGCGTCACGTGACGGCCCGCAGCTGGAACGCGAGCACGCGCCCCGCCGAGCGCCCGCCCGCCGGGGGCCTGAGCGCTGGGGCGCGTGCGCGAGCGGTGCAGCACCGGCCGCGGGAGCAGGGAGTATTATGGGCTGTGGGTGCCTCTGAGCAAGATGGAGCTGTCTGCAGTGGGCGAGCGGGTCTTCGCGGCCGAATCCATCATCAAACGCCGGATCCGCAAGGTGAGCTCTCGGCCCGGACGGCCCTGCGCTCCCCGCGGCCGTGTCGGAGCCCGCGGGCCCTCGGGGCGCAGCGGTCCCGCTAGCCCGGCTCCCTCGGCCACCCCCGCGCCGCCGCCGCCTCCTTGCGTCCCTGCATCCTCCCCACCCCCACCCCCCCTTTTTTTTTTCCCTTTCTGTTTTTCAGGGACGCATCGAGTACCTGGTGAAATGGAAGGGGTGGGCGATCAAGTGAGTATCGTCGGGTCGGTGGCGTGGGGACCGGAGAGGCGGCAAGAAGGCACTTGGGCCTTGGGTGGGGGGTGCGTGCTTGCGTCCTCGAGGTGTGCCTCTGCCCCTTGGGTTTTCATTTTGCTTTTCTGCACGCGTGACTCGGCAGGTACAGCACTTGGGAGCCGGAGGAGAACATTCTGGATTCGAGGCTCATCGCAGCCTTCGAGCAGAAGTGAGTTGGGGAGGCTGGCCGGCGCGGTGGGGCGCCGTGCAGGGAAGCGGGAAAAGCGGGCTGGGCCGGGGAGTGGGGCCCGGGAAGGGACTCTTAATTTTTGGCGTTTCTTGGCTGCAGGGAAAGGGAACGTGAGCTGTATGGGCCCAAGAAGAGAGGACCCAAACCCAAAACTTTCCTCCTAAAGGTAACCTGGCCCAGCCCCAGCAGCCCCCTCTTGGGCCCCCAGCCAGGGCGCAGCACAGGGCCTGCAAGGGAGGGATAGATCCGCCGCTGCCTAGGAGGGCAGGCTTTTCCAGAGGGGCCCCAGCTGGGCAGGGGGTGGTTGTGAGTCCCTGACAATTCCCTGGCAGCAGGCCGCAGCCAGCCCAGCCAGAGGGGCCTGGGAGTGGGGTAATCAGGGGTGAAACCAGGGACTGGGGGTGGGGATGGGCTCCAGGAAGCGAGTGAGTGGGTGAGGCAGGTCGGGGCATACTCACGGGAGGAGGTGACCAGGAAGCTCTTTCTGCTTTTCATCTCCCCCAGCCTTAAACACACTGGCCTGTACTGTGTGTGTTAGAGCCTTGGAGCTAGTGAGTATAGGCTCAGCTCCTGGCAAGCTGCCCACCTTCCTGCCCGGTAGCTGCCCACCTCTCTTAGAGTGTATTCTGTGCCGTCCTCTCAGCACTTGGGGACCCAATTTGAATTTGACCTTACATTACTTCAATTTGAGTTCGATCATCCAAATCCACCCTGGACTACCAGCTCTCGGGTCCTGAGCCCGTCTACCCCCAATCCTGATATTTCTGGAGGTCCAGTGAAGATGGGGTGGGGCATGGTGAAACAGCCTGTTTGCATTGGCAAGGGAGCAGAGAACTTCAGAGGAAGCCATCTTGGAGAGTTGGGGGTGTTTTGTTTTGTTTTTTTGATGAGGGAAGAACAGAGCCTGAGACGAGGAAAGCAAGATGACCCGTGTTGTCCACTTAAGGCTAGGCTGCAGGTGGCCTCGTGAGGCCACCGTAGTTTCCCTAAAGGACTAGGGATGCCTCAGATTTTCTTCCCAACAAATTTGGCCCCTTGGAGAAGAGACTGCAAGATGCGAAACCTCGTAATCTCCAGTTTGTCCAAAGCACTCCATGCTCAGTGGGGGCGGGGTGGACCAGTCCTGTTGACAAGGCCTGCACTCCCAGCCAACGGACTGGGCGTAAGGGTTAGCCTTGGACCAAAAGCAAAAGTGGAAAAAAAAAAATGTTGGTTTCTAAAATTCTATAGTTTTGCACCCCACTCCCCGCCCCCAATCGCGGTGTATCTTCAGGCCTTAACGCAGCAACCTTAACCCTGATGCTCGCGGGTGGGGAGGGGTGGGCGGAGCAGCTGGAAGACTGGTGGGCTGTGTTGACAGCTCCTCAGCGCAGCTGGAGCGCCCTCTGGTGGCCAAGGCGGTAACGATCTTGAGTATCCATTCTCAAAATACCTTTTTCTTTAAAGTTGTAAGTTTCTGAGCTGCCCACCCTGGGCCCAACAGCGCCGGGTCCTCCGCCCGAATCATCTCCTTTAATATCCTCAACATCCCAGTGGAGTTGGGAGTACTATCCCCATTTCACAGATGGAAATAGTTTTAAGAGTGACGTTGAACACACCTACAGGAAACGAGGCTGAGAGTCGCGGGTGCAGGGGGCGGAGCTGCCTACGGTCTTAATCCAGGATTTAAGAAACAGCAGGACATCGAGGAATATTTGTGAAGGGATGTAGAGGTAGCCTGGGCTGGACCTGTTGCTTTGTGATTAGGAGGCAGTTCAGCAAAATGCACTTAACATTTTCTGCCAGGAGCTATACCGAGCGACGTGGAAGCCGTTTTGAGATGGCTGGCATATTCCCGTTTCACACCTGGGAAAAGAAAACAGGTCAATAATTTGCCCTCCATCACAGAGAGCTAGCGGCCGTGTCTAGATGCTGTCGGTAGTGCATCCCAAACCCTGGGGCCACTTGTCAGAATGCACTGACTCTGTTCTCTGCAGTGATATTTGAAATTCGCTAGGCAGACCCAGGTCCTGTTGTCAGAACGTCTCAACCTGAGGGAGATACAGACCTTTTTAGTATGTGAGGGTTTGCATGTATGTGTGCCATGGTCATGCCCGGTGCCCATGGAGGCCAGAAGAGGATCCTCAGAATTGGGGTTGCAGGCAGTTGTGAGCTGCCTTGTGGGTTCTGGGAACTGAACCTGGGTCCTCTGGAAGAGCAGCCATTGATCTTAACCTCTGAGCCATCTCTCCAGCCCAAGGATTGTGTCTTACGCAATCCTGTTTAGACCTTGTAAAGTAAGAGATGTTTCTTATAGACAGTTTGAATGCATACTTTAGGGAAAGCTGATTTCTCAGAAGCCTGGCACCGACAGGTAACTGGCTTGTCCCAAGTACTGGCTGCCTCCAGATGTGTGGTCAGCAAGTGCTTTAATGGTCAAGGAGAGCATTATGGCAGGACCCATTTGGATAGCACAGAAAAAGAGGATGACATTAGACCACTGTTTACACACATCCTCCTACTCTGTGGAGCCTCTGTCACCCCTGGACTTCTGTAGGAGCTAGCAAGTCAGTGTGGGGGCTGGGGAGATGGGTCAGCAGCTAAGAGTGCATTGCCCTACCAGAGGGGCAGACCCCCAGACACCTGAAACTCCAGCTCCGAGAGATCGGACGACCCTTTCTGGCTAATGTGGGCATCCGTACATACACATTAAAAACAAAACAGGTCGGGGAGTTGAGGTAAGACGCAGTGAGTGAATGCCGTACTCTTGTTTCTGAGGAGATTCATTAACTCCCCTGGGGATGTGGCTGGGAAGAGATGTAAGGGGCCTTGTGGAACTCAACCAGCTGGCTGGAGAGAGGAACTCCGGAGCGATCTGTTCCCACCTGGGTGCTGCCACCTAGTGTCAGTGAGTGTTGACAGGGAGGCCCCAGCCTGGGTGCAGAGCCCTTGAGGGTGTGGGGTACCTGGTAAGACATTAGTTCACCACAAGCCGGGAGAGCCTGACGGGTGACAGTTTAGGCTTGTCAGGGGGTATACAGGCTATGTCTTCTTATTGATTAAGCATCCAGTGTGTGGGGACTGGAAATGGAGAGCTCCCCCAAGCACAGATTGCTCCTGGGGGCCCTGACAGATTAACCATGGGAATGAATCCCTCCTCTGCCCCTGAAGTCTCCCAACTAGATTAAGGCAGTCACAACCTAACCAGCTTTGCCCAGCTGGAGCCGGAGTATTAAACTCAGGACTCTCGTCCTTCCCTACTCCATCTTCAGCCACAGCTGTCAGCTCTGCCACTCTGTCCTCACAGCGCTGGGGTGTGGCCTGCGGGGCTCTCTGTCCCCAGCCGGTGTCCCACCCTGGCCTCAGGAACTGCTGGGTTCTCTCCGTGTCTGTGGGGTACCTGTGTCTCTAGAGACAACAGCAGCTCTGGGAGGGGGTGCCGTTCAGAGTAGACCTGAGCGGCTGTTCTTCATTCTTCTCAGTGAAGGAAGGGCTGGCCATGGAGAAGTCCGTGTCTACTGGCCATTCTGAGTCTTCTGGCAAGGGGTGGGTCGGGGTGGTACCAGAGCTCCAAGAGCCTTTGGGTGGGGTTCCCATGAGGTAGCTGCTGAACTGCTGTTGAACCCTGGGGCTTTTCAGAGCTCACGCTGAACTCCGCTCGGTTGTCTTGTCTTCACCAAAGGCCTAGATTGGCTTCTGTTACTGGCTTCTGGATATAGGTTTTTGCAATCCACAGATATGGGTAGAATGAGGGCGGAGAGGCAGGCTTGGGGCCTGGGGCAAGGGCCTCTCTAGAGTTGATGGTCATCTGTGGAGTCAGGGATGGATGGGGCTGGGAGGTAGGGGGAGGGAGGATCTACTTCTGTCCCCAAGAATTAGCCCTTGGAAGAGTCCCAGGCTTGGCTGGGATCCTTCACGGAGGGTTCCCTCACAGGGCCCCTTGTTGCTGAGTCAGCAAGTGGCAAGTGTCCCTCCCCTCCCCCAACATGCGCACTTAGTGGTAGTGAAAAAGACCACACCTTAAGAATTGCCTAGAGAGATGGCTCAGTAGTTGGGAGCAGTGGCTGCTCTTCTGGTAGACCCGGGTTCAATTCCCAGCATCCACAGGGCAGCTCTCAACTGTCCCTTGGAAAAAGACTACTAGCCTGTTTCTCTCTAGTTCACAAAAAAAAAAAAAAAAAAAAAAAAAAAAGAATTGCCTAGCTCTGGTTGTAGACAAGTGACAAGTTATGGCTCCCCCCCCCACCCCACCCCCCCACCCCGGGAGCTGGGGATTGAATCCAGGGCCTTGCGCTTGCTAGGCAAGCACTCTACCACAGAGCTAAATCCCCAAACCCCCCCCCCCCCCCTTTTTTGTTTTTAAGAGTATCGAGCAGCCTAGGCTAGCCTCAAACATACTATGTAGCTGGAGATAACCTTGAACTTCTGATCCACCTGCCTCCATTTATGGAGTGCTGCCCGACCATGACAGGCAACAGGTTTATGTTGTGCTGGGGAACCTAGGGCCCATGCATGCTAGGCAAGCACTCTTCCATCTGAGCTGCGTCGTGTCCCCCCGTCCTTTTCTTTTTTTGTCTGAAGGGTCCTAAGTCACTGATTGTTCTGAGTAGTCTCCTGAATATATGCTGACGGAGCTCAGGGCTATCTGGCTTAGAGGTGTCCAGGGGTTGCTATGAGTCTTGAGGTCCCACCCATGCCCCTCTGCCCGCAGGCCCGGGCCCAGGCGGAGGCCCTCCGCATCAGTGATGTGCATTTCTCTGTCAAGCCGAGCGCCAGCGCCTCCTCGCCCAAGCTGCACTCCAGTGCCGCGGTGCACCGGCTCAAGAAAGACATCCGCCGCTGCCACCGCATGTCCCGCCGCCCCCTGCCACGACCAGACCCACAAGGGGGCAGCCCTGGCCTGCGCCCACCCATCTCGCCCTTTTCTGAGACGGTGCGCATCATCAACCGCAAGGTGAAGCCCCGGGAGCCCAAGCGGAACCGCATCATCCTGAACCTGAAGGTGATTGACAAGGGTCCGGGAGGAGGCAGCCCTGCGCAGGGTGCAGGGGCGCTTGCCCGCCCCAAAGTCCCATCGCGGAACCGGGTCATTGGGAAGAGCAAGAAGTTCAGCGAAAGCATGCTGCGCACCCAGATCCGCCACATGAAGTTTGGCACCTTTGCGCTGTACAAGCCCCCGCCCGCCCCTCTGGCGCCCTCTACCGCGGGCAAAGCCGACGTGGCCTCCTCCGGGCCTGGGCTGCTCCTGGCCACCCCAGCAGCTGCCCCCTATGACGCACACAGCTCCAGCTCTTCCGGCTGCCCCTCACCCACACTGCAGTCCTCTGACCCAGACGATGCACCACCCAAGCTACTACCCGAGACCATGAGCCGATCTGCTTCCAACTGGCGAGAGCCAGAGGTGCTCGATCTGTCCATCCCTCCCGAGGCGGCTGCCACAGGCCAACGGGCGCCTCCTGATGCCACTGCTGCTGCGGGCCAGGCGCTCCACACAGCCCTGGAGCCCACAGGTGCCTGCTCCTCTGAGCCCGAGGCTGGGGACTGGCGCCCCGAGATGTCGCCGTGCTCCAATGTCGTCGTCACAGATGTCACCAGCAACCTCCTGACCGTGACCATCAAGGAATTCTGCAGCCCTGAGGATTTCGAGAAGGTGGCTGCTGGGGTGGCAGGTGCTGCAGCGGGGGGTGGTGGCACCGGGCCAAGCAAGTGAGGGGCTTCCCCAAGGAGGGAGGCTTTGGGGGGGGCCTCCTTCCTGGAGTCATCTTTGTGCTCCCACCCCGTCCCTGCCCTCAGACCCGTTTGCCTGTGCTCTGCTTGCCTCAAATGGCTTGGTGTTGACCCAGGGATGGGGCTGGGTAGTCCTGGACATGGTTAGGGTTCTGGTAGGGCACAGGAAGGAAGAATTGCTCCCTGGTGTCCCTGGCACTGTCCCTGACTGTGCAGGTGGGGCCCAGTAGGTGGCTTCTGGGGAAGCCCAAGAACTTGGGGTTCAGGTCCTACCCACACCCCACCCTGCCTCTCCTAGCTTGCTTCTTGCTGTGTGTGCAGTGTCCGGCCTTGGTGCTATCTTAGCGGCTGCAGGGCCCCTAGGAGATCCCACCTAGGGTGGGCACAATCTCTTAGTGCCACCTGGGACTGAGTGAAGGATGAGGCCGAAATGGGCCCCTCCCTCGCGACACTATTGAGGGTGGCAGCAGCTGGGCCAGAGGCCCCCTTCCCTGCTTGCCTGTATCTGGACCAGGCCCACGCAGATCTTGTGTCCCACACACTGTCTCTATCCAAAACCCCCTTTGAAGGTGGAGGGGCTGCAGACATGGCACCCTGCCCGCAGCCTCTGGGCATCTGGAAGCCTCCTCCGTTTTCTACCAAAGGTGCTGTAGGAACCTGCTGTGGAAACTTCTGGCTGTGCATGTGTGTTTGCCCTTGGCTTGTTCTTGCGTGGATCCATGTGTGTGCTGGGTGCAGGGTTTCGGGCTTTCCTGCAACACCCCTTACAGGTTCCTCAGAACAGGGTCGCTGAAGGCGTGGCCTCCCTTGCCTTAGCCAGGCCTGGCACAGTTGGGTCTGTGTGGTTTGTTGTGGAAGCCACAGGCCTCTCCTCCAATCCCAGGTTCCTGGGGGACATGGAGCCCTCAGGCCCTTCACATAGTGGCCAGCATGGTGGGACTGTTGGGGGTGGGTCCAGCTCCAGCCTCCCTCCTTGCAGATGTAGGTGGAGGAAAGAAGGCCTGGAGACCTCCCAGGAGTCCTTGATTTCTCCCACCCCCCTGGCTTGCTTTGAACTGCTGAGCTTCCTGGCCTTCTAGCCTGTTGGAAGACTCTGGGTGCCTTGGGCAGCTTCTGTTGCCCTCTGCTGCTAGGGAACCGAGGCATCCACGCCAACAGCAGAGACCAAAGCCCCAGTTTCAGGCCAGGCACCAGAAGAGTGGGTGGGCCAGTGGGGAGAGGGAGGATGCCTGTCCCCAGGCAACATTAGGGACTCCACTGGCCTACCCTTGGCCTGGGATTCACTTGGGTGTTGTTGAGTGGTATGTTCCTGTGTGTAGCCTGAGCTGGCTCCTGGTGTACATGGCCCTGGTACCTTGCTCAGAGCATGGCAAAAGGCGGAACCAGCTGACCCGAGGACAAGTATTCTGGTCTTAGGAGAAGACGTTCTTCCTTCTCACCCCTCTGCCAGGGTCTGCAGCACAGCCCCAGCCCTCCTTCCCCCAGGGTATGAAACAGGGGTCCTCACAGGGTTTGGGGGCCACAGTCCAGGTCCCGCCTTGTCCTGTGTTAACCCCAATACCGTCCAAGTGCCAATTGGCTTTTCCCCCAAATAAGGGCTGGTATTTCACCTCTGTCCCCAGAGGCGATTTCCCCCTCCCCCTCCCCCAGGTGGGCCACCACCACCTGGGTGCCAGTTACAGGTGTTTGCAGAGACCATAGAAATGTGTTTTCCTGAGAGTCTGTGTCATTTGTGACCTTTTTTTGTAAAGAAGTTGTGTTTTCAGAGGTGATTTTATGACAGGAACGTGAAAGAGTTAGTTTTGCAAAAAATGAAAAAAAAAAGAAAAAAAATTTAAAAAGTAAAAAAAAAAACAAAGAAAAGAAAAAAATAGAAAAAAAAATATTGTGGGATTCCTAAGAGTGTGGGGTGGAGGGAGAAAGCTATTTAAAGAAGACATAGGAACGCACCGATTGCAGAGGTGAGGTGGCAATGTCAGGGTAAGGTGGAGGCCTGAGCTAGCTGGTGGGCCCCAGGGTGGAAGGCACCATTCAAGGCCATGGCTGCCCTCCTTCCTCGGCAGCAGGCGTGGCGAGTCTTCTGTGGTGACCTAGGAACCGACTTCCACTCCAGTCCTTGCTTGAAAGGAAGGGTGACAGCCAGTCCCCAGGGAACTAGCAGGAAGCTCAGGGGACAGGCAGGTGTTGGTCGTGGGACGCCTTGGGGACTGGATTCACTGTGCTTTTCCCCTCAAGGAAGAAGTCTCAACCACGCGCTTTTACTTTTCACCAGTTTGCTGGGTCATCTGGTTCCCAGTCACTCCACCGTCACCCTAAAGACCCAGACGACACCTTTGAGTTCCCCTGGTTTGGAAAGGGATGCAGGCTTCAGAAAGCTGCTGCTGGGGTAACCCCCTCTGGGGGTGCAGGGAAGGCATGGGATTGCCGGTGAGCAGAAACTTTCTTCCCTCTCCTGGATAGCCTGGAGTGAGAGGCCTGGACCTCTGTGCAGACCCCACACAGCCGTGCACCGCCGGCCTACTGCAGGCCCTCCCCCACCCTTGCTGCTTTTTGTTTGCCTAATTGCCAAGCGGAAGTTGCAGTCCGGTGTGCTTTATTTTTGTATGTGAAATGACCCCCCCTCTGACGGTCACGCCCTGTAAATGCACCCTTCCCACCCACTTGCCAGGAAAACGGGAGTGAGTAGGTGAGTCCCCAGGGTCTTGTTGGGTTTTGAGATGGAAGGTTGGGACCCATTCCTGTTGAGTGAGTCCCTCTGTGAAAGGGCTGTGCAGAGCAGCAAGACCTCCACACAGAGCACTCTGGGGCCTCCAGCTGCCCACAGCCCCCGAGGGAGCAAAGTGAGCCTCCTTCCTCTGGTCAGGCCGCCCTTGCCTCAGTGGGAGGGGGTGGAACGGGGTGGGGGGGCATGGTCTCTTTGAAAGGGGGCTAAGCTACTTCACTGGAGTGCTGGAGGGCTTTGAGCCCAGGCTGCCCTGGCCTTTGAAGGGAAAGGTGGGGACTCTGGGGATGGCTATTGCCCAGGCTAGAGACTCGGCCCTAGCAGAAACGAGGTCAGCCGAGAATCTGGGCTTAGGCCAGCCTTTCTGGCCTCTGGGGAGCTGAGAGGCCGCACCCCTTCCCCTTGCTTTTCTGGTTTGGTTGGTTGGCTTTCCCCCCCTTTGTTTTGTTTTGCACTTCAATGGATGATGGAACCCAGTCTGGTCAGCTCTGCCCTCGGGTTCCAGTGCACTAGGCCAAGGTGGCCTCTCTGGGGCTTCTGTGGTTCAAGGAATCACTTTGTAAAAGATAAGAGAAATTTTAAGGGTTTTAGTTTTGTTCTGTCTGCTTCTCTTCTTGGTTCAGAAAGCCCAGAGAGTGGGGTCCTGCACCCCTTCTGCACCCAGCCACCACCGAGAAGCAAGAAGAGCAGCTGCTTAGGTGGGAGCCAAGGACCCCACTTCCCAGCCTGTAGGTCCCTCCGTCCTTAAAGGACTCAGGACTCCATTCCCACTGTATGCAGAGCATCAGCTAGGTGATGGAGCCAGAAGGTCTGAAGAGGCCAGGTGGAAGGGGTCCAGTGCTGGGCACCCCTGTGCCGAGGAGCGAAGCGGGCATCTTTTTGTTGGTTTTAACTTAAAAACACAAAGGCCTAAAGAAATATGTATCTTATAATTTTGTTTTAATTTTTGAGAAGCTCATTTGATGAACCGCACGAATGGATTCTCTATATATAATATACGTACATAGCTCTATATCTGGGGACGGGCACTGTCTCTCTTCTCTCGCGTTTTAAGGATGACGTGTCTTTCTTTGTCTGTGGTTCAACCATCCAGCTCCCAGCTGGCTAAACTTTGCCTCCAGTGGTTAATGGCGGGAACATGGTAAAGCTGGCCGATGACGGATGAAGAAGGGGTGGGGCCCCCAGTCTGCCCTACCCCTTGGGAAGGACTTCCATTGGGGAAGGTAGCTTATTTTGGATGTGGGTTCGGTAGATTCTGGGCCAGGGGAGGGCGGGCTCGTGCTGATCACTCTGTCTCGTTCGTTTCGTTCTGCTGCTCTTCAATATTGTATCGATGCCAGGAAGAGGGGGTGAGACCTCTCTCACCCCCAAATAAATTGTCACATTCCGAAGCTAATCCCAGCCCCCTGGGTGGGGTGTGTCTGCCTCGTTTCTTCTGGTTCCCATGGCAGTTTTTCTTTTTTTGAAGTGGTCTCTAAACCCACACTGGCCTCATACCTGTCTCCTACACCGGGATTACAGGTGTGAGCCACTGTGCTGGGCCAGCATCAGACCCAGGTCGCTGAGGCGGCACAGCAGATAAAAGGCACTTGCTGTGAAACTCTGCAACCCAAGTTCGATCCCCAGAACCTACATAAAAGGGGAAGGTGAGTAACCAACCCCGCAAAGTTCTCTCGTCTCCACACTCATGACATGACATGCTTTTTTTACCCTTACATGTGCTTCACGCTCACACATAAATTAAGGGGCTGGAGATAGCTTAGAGGTTAAGAGCACATAATGCTCTTGCAGAGGACCTAAGTTCGATTCCCAGCACCCATGTAGGGTGGCTCACAATCATCTGTAATTCCAGCCTCAGGGGTATCAGGTGCCTCTGGCCTCCAAGGGCACTTGCACCACTCACATGTACATATACATGCACAGATACTCATACACGTACCTTTTTTTTAAGTAAATCTTTAAAAACTTAATGAAGGTAGAGAATCATCCATGAGGATAGTGTCAGCACTGGGTCAATCCTCAACCCTTGCAAAGCTCTCCCAACTCCCCAACCAGCATGAACTGTAGGTCCGAAGGGCACTTGGCCGGGAACACAGGCCTGTTGTTCTTGGAAATAGGGGTCTTGAGTAGTAGGTATGTGGCGGGAGTGGAGAGCTAGGGGCCAGCACCCACAGAAAGGAAGGGGTCCACAAGGCTGTCTGTCACTCTGGAGCCTTGGGGCACATAGACCTGAGGGAATCCATGACTGCTTTTGTTGCTGCTCCCTGAAATTTGGCACCATATGGTCAGAGAGTGGGGTCTTTCACACTTCTTAGTCCCGTGAGCCATCCCTGAGGACATGAGCAGGCAGCAGCCTCTGACATACTTCAGCACTGTCTTTGGTGAGCTGCAACCCCCCCCCCCCCCCCCCCCCCCCCCCCCGTAGGCTCCATCCAGGACATTCCATGAACACCTGTTGGTTAGGTGTGGGCATAGCATCACTCCCCTCTCTTTCCACTCCATCCCTATCATATCCGTGTCCAGCCTCTTCCATGCCTCCCCACCTTGCAGCCCCTCTGCTCCTCATCCTGCAATCCCAGGACAAGGGAGGTAGAGACGGGAGCATCCATAGGGCTTGCTGGGTGGTCTGTCTAGGCTGACCGGTGAGCTCAGGGTTGAATGAGAGACCCTGTCTCAAACACTAAGGTGGACAGTGACAGAGAAACACATCTGGTGTTAACTTACAGCCTCTACAAGGAGGTATGGAGAGATGGCTAATGTATTCAGTTTGGAACACCTTGAGAGAGAATTAGGCAGAGAGCCCCAGGGGGATATTTATGAATGGGTTTGAGGCTGATCCAGTTCCTGATGACCCAAGCACCACGGGAGAGAGCCTTGAAGTCTGTTCCTGGTGCTCCTCAGTGCTGTCATCACCCATCTTGTGAAGACCACCAGGGGTTTCATTCTAGAGGCTACTGGGCAGCTTAAGTGTCAGCCCTTGTACCCTTTCCGAGCTCATGCCTTCCATCGTTGTGAGCAGCTGAGAAACGTGAGGCACATGAGACAAGGTATTTGGGGGGGGGTCCCCAAAATTTGTCCAGAGAGTGGAGCCCTAGTCTGGGGCACGATGGCTAGAACCTTCTATAATAATACAAAATATTAGAGACACTAGGTAAAAGTCACAGGCATCATTTTAAATACTCAAGTTTCTAAGATATTTTTTAAAGAAAATCCCTGGAGTGTGGTGATATATTGTGTATCCTAATAAAATTTGTGTGAAGATCAGAGAACAAAACAAGCCACTAGATTAAACATAGATGGGTGTCAGGCAGTGGTGGCACATACTGTTAATCCTAGCACTCGGGAGGCAGAGATCCGTCTGGCTCTCTGTGAGTTCAAAGCCACCCTGGACTACATGAGATTGATTCACTCTAGGAGAGAAACAGAGCCAGGCAGTGGTGGCACACACCTTTAATCCCAGCACTAAGAAGGAAGTGATATGGTGGGTGGAGGAAAGATATATAAGGCATGAGGAGACAGGAACTAAAGCCTTTTGGCTGAAGGCTTTTTCAGGCTGAGGAGTCCTAGAGGTAAGATGTGGCAGTGGCTTGTTCTTTTGCCTCTCTGATCTTTCAGCATTTACCCCAATATCTGGCTCCGGGATTTTTATTATAAAACCAATTAGATTGCATACTACATCTGGCACCCAACGTGGGGCACGAACCCACAACCCTGAGATTAAGAGTCTCGTGCTCTACCGACTGAGCTAGGTGGGTTACACCAGAGACCAAAAACAAAGGAAAAATAAAATATCCGAGCAGTAGGTAGATGTGGTCCTGTGGGCACGCTGTGGGGTGGTGGGGTGGCAGTTGTGGGGACAGAACTGAGGCAAGACGTTGGCTTCTGAGGACCTTGGTAGCTAAAGAGCTTGAACTGTGGATTCAACAACCAGGACTGGGCCCAAGCCAGGGATCCCCCTGTACGGAGGCAGTGCTGGGGGACTCGGCTCATTCCTGACTCCGCCAGAAACACACAAAAAAGACTCCTCTCTGGAGACACAGTAACTCTAAACCTTTGCTGGCACGAAGTTAAAAGTGCGAACTTGTATTTTTCACACAATCCCAGAACTCTCAAATTGAGAAATTAATATAAAAAACAAACCCGAGGTGGGGGACCGCCATAGAGCAAGTGGGAATAGCAGACAAAAATCTCTCTGGAACACTGTGCCCACTGCACGGGCCACATGGGGTTCTCTCTGAAGAAAGCGCTGGTACCCATGAGGTCACACGCCCAATGACAATACACAGCAAAGGCACAAAGACACAAACAACAGTGGATAAGGGGCTGGGCCCCAGCACCTCTGTTTGTAATATAGGGCAGGGGCTCCTGAGAGTCTGGGAAGTGCCCTACCACTGAGCTGGGACCCAGCACTTATGTTTGTAGTATAGGACAGGGGCTCCTGAGAGTCTGGGAAGGGCCCTACCACTGAGCTGGGACCCAGCACCTCTGTTTGTAATATGGGGCAGGGGCTCCTGAGAGTCTGGGAAGGGCCCCACCACTGAGCTGGGACCCAGCACTTCTGTTTGTAGTATAGGACAGGGGCTCCTGAGAGTCTGGAAAGTGCCCTACCACTGAGCTGGGATCCAGCACCCCTGTTTGTAGTATAGGACAGGGGCTCCTGAGAGTCTGGGAAGGGCCCTACCACTGAGCTATATCCCTGGCCCAGTTTTGACCCAGGGTCTCACTAAGATGCCCAGACCAGCCTTGAACACACTCTGTAATGCTGGTGGGCTTTGAGTATGATCCTCCTACCTCCCGACCTGAATTTGAGACTGTAGACTACACTGCCAGACCTGCTCCCAACATACTTTTAAGGATTCATTGAGGATTTCAAAAATTAGCACGTCTGTACCCAACAGGACACAAAGCAAATCTCAGTAAAATTTTAAGAATTAGCATCACAGACAATATCATTGGATCAAAAGTCAGTAGCAGTATCTGGGGCACTGTGGTGTAAAGATAGGCCAACAGGACAGGGAGCAGAGGGCCCAGACAGAAATGTTCATTTATAAGGTCAAGGGATTTGTTTACATGTGTGTATTTGTTGTGTGCCACAGGTGCATGTAGAGGTCAGAGGACAACTTTTGGGAGTTGGTTCTCTCCTACCTTGTAGGTCCTGAGGAACAAACAGTTCCTCAGACTTGCATGGCAAACACCTGTACTTTCTGAGCCATAGGTTAATCCTAGTCACGTGACTTCTTACAAAGGTACCCAGCCTAGTCAATGGCAGAAGAGCTTCCTTCTCTCCTTTGAGACAGGCTGGACTCAAACTTTCCGTGTAGCCAAAGATGACTTTGAGCTCCTGTACCACCACATCTGGTTTATGTGGTGCTGGGCATGGAACCCAAGGCCTTGTGCATGCAAGGCAAGTGTTCTACCAACTGAGTCACATCCCCAGCCCATTTGTCTGTTCAATGAGTGAAACCATCCGTTTGCAAAAGAATGGAATTGGATCTTTAGGAGGTAGACACATGGTGCAGCTGGAAAGCTTTTAGGGAGCCCCAGTGGTACAGTCAGCTAGTGCACGGTATTTAGATGCACTATGTAAAATCCTGGGAGCTGGAGAAATGGCCCAGCTGTTAGGAGTACTGGCTGCTTTTGCAGAGGACCCAGGTTCCGTTCCTACTACCTACATGGTGGATCACAACCATCCAGAACTCCAGTTCCAGGGGGATCTGGCACCCTCTTCTGGTCTCTCAGGGCACTGCATACACATGGTGCGCAGACATACAAGAAAGTAAAACACTCTAACACCTAGGTCTAAAAAAAATTTTAAATACTGTTGACAGTAAAATATCAACCCACAAATGGGCCAAAAAAGGCAAACCAAATATCTGATAAAAAGTCAATACCCAGAACACACAGAAGTTTTTTTTTAATAATTTATTTATTTTTATTTTATGTGTATTTGCGTTTTGCCTACATACATGTATGTCTGTGTGAGGGTGCCATCTCCTGGAACTGGAGTGTAACTTACAGACAGTTGTGAGCTGCCATGTGGGTGGGTGCTGGGAATTGAACCCAGGTCCTCTGGAAGAGCACCCAGCGCTCTTAACTTCTGAGCCAACTCTCCAGCCCCCAGAAAATTCTTAAAACTTAATGACAAAAATAATAACAGTAATAAAATCTTGAATCAAAACTGGTCCAGCACACCAATGCTATGGTAGAGCACACCTGTAATCTCAGTATTCCAGAGACGGAGGCAGGAGACTGAGAGATCCAGGCCAGCCTGGGCTACTTAGATACATACATTGTCTCAACAAAATAAAAACAGATGAAGAACAAAATGGACAAAGGACTTGGACAGACAGTTCTCCAAAGAGGAAAGAATAGGCAGAGGTCCAGGAGGCCCAGGAT